TACCCCCAGCTTCTTATCTGATCTGAGTCTCCCCCTCCCATACCTACTGGCTCCCAGTCCCCTCCCAAGTCCCAGTATCCCATCTCAAACAGTCCCAGGTCGTCTCCCCCCTCCCCCCCGCCATTCCCAGTTTCAAATTTATTTGGGCATAAGCTTTCGTGGGCTAGAACCCACTTCATCAGATGCATGGAGTGGAAAATACAGGAGCAAGTATAAATACATGAATAGAGTATAAATACATGATGAAATGGGTTCTAGCCCACGAAAGCTTATGCCCAAATAAATTTGAAACTGGGAATGGCGGGGGGGGGAAGGGGGGACGACCTGGGACTGTTTGAGATGGGATACTGGGACTTGGGAGGGGACTGGGAGCCAGTAGGTATGGGAGGGGGAGACTCAGATCAGATAAGAAGCTGGGGGTAGAGACTGGAATTGGGAATCATTGGGAAGCAGGGAAAGATGTGGGGGAGGGACAGATCTGATGAAGAGACAGTGTGGTGGGATAGTTTAGACAAGATTGGGACAGGGAGCCGTGTGTGTGTTACTCTGAGATGCACTTGTGCCCGGCCAACCAAGCAATCCAGATAGCTGTATATCTGTGACTTGTCCTCTTTGCCACACTTCTCCAATTAGTGTCATCTACCAACCTTATCAGTGATTCTGTGTTTTCTTCCAGATCATTGATAAAAATGTTAAATAGCATAGGGCCAAGAACCAATTCCTTCGGAAACCCACTAGAAACACACCCACTTGATAATTCCCCATTTACAGTTACATTTTGAGACCTATCACTTAGACAATCTTTAATTTTTAGTGTATACCATATTAATTGTATATTCTATTTTTTAATCATGCCATGCAATACCAAGTCAAATGCCTTACAGAAGTCTAATTATATTACATCAACACTATTACCTTTTATCAACCAAACTTGTAATCCAATAATAAAAAATAAATAAATTAGTTGACAGGATCTACTTTCCATAAACCCATGTTGATTGTCATTAATTATATAACCTTCCTTTAATTCCATATTAACTGCCCCTTTATCATGCCCAGGATGGATGTCGGGCTGAGAAGCCTATAATTATCTGGGTTATCCTGCTTACCCTTTTAAAAAATTGGCACAACATTATCTTTTTATGCAATCTTCTGGAACTTTCATAGTGTGCTTAGACTAGCAGTCCAGTGAGCGCCTCATCTGGCTCTTTTAAAATTCTTGTGTCAAATTATCTGGACCTGCTGTTTTCAAAATGTCTGACTTTTAGTAGTTGCTATTTAACATCCTCCTGAGATACTAATAGAATGGAAAGTGTTAGCATATAAAATGACTACATCATAAAAACATAAGAATGGCCTACTGGGTCAGACCAAAGGTCCATGCAGCCCAGTATCCTGTCTTCCGACAGTGGCCAGTGCCAGGTGCCCCAGAGGGAATGACCGGAACCCCTGTCGCTCATTCCCAACTTCTGGCAAACAGAGGCTAGGGACACCATTCCTGCCCATCCTGGCTAATAGCCATTGATAGACCTATCCTCCATGAATGTATCTACTTCTTTTTTGAACCCTGTTATGGTCTTGGCCTTCACAACATCCTGTGGCAAGGAGTTCCACAGGTTGACTGCGCATTGTGTGAAGAAATACTTCCTTTTATTTGTTTAAACCTGCTGCCTATTAATTTCATTTGGTGACCGCTAGTTCTTGTGTTATGAGTAGTAGTAGACAACACTTCCTTATCTACTTTCTCTATACCAGTCATGATTTTATAGACCTCAATCATATCTCCCCTTAGCGGTCTCTTTTCCAAGCTGAAAAGTCCCAGTCTTATTAATCTCTCCTCATATGGAAGCCGTTCCATACCCCTAATCATTTTTGTTGCATCATTTGTTTTTCCCCCCAAATACAGAATAAAAATGTTTATTTAACCCTTCTGCCATTTTTGCATTAGTATTGATAATTCTACCATTTCCATTTAGTAATGGACTAATACTATCATCATGATTCTTTTTGTTCTTAATGTACTTAAAAAACCTTTTTTTAAATTGTCCTTAACTCTGCAGGCCATATATTTTTCCTTGTGTGTCTTTGCTTCCCTTATCAATTTTCTATAATTTCTAGATTCTGTTTTATATCCATTACTAACAACTTTCCCTTTCTTACATTTATTACGGTTTTTTATTTTATTTTTTATAGTTGCCTTCACTCCCCCTTTAAACCACATTGTTTTTTTAGCCAGTTTGGCCATCTTTCTTGTTATGTTGATTAATTAGAAAATCTTGCTCTCCAAATCATTAGATAAAACTGGGAATTTTGCTATATTGGTTTTGTTTTCATTGTTCTTTTTGACCTAAACATCCCCAAATGTTATTTTGAATATATTCTATTTTCCCCTCCTTCTCATAGGTTATTCCATACACTGGGGCAATCCTTAGTGGTCTTCTTCCTGGAGAACTAGTTGTAATACAGGGAAGTGTTCCTGATGATTCCGACAGGTAATGTCTAAAGCCATCTGACTTTCAAGAGGTTATATTGGGAATGAGCCTTTGAGAAGGCAAGCTGATCAAAACCCAACTAAACGGCTTTTCATAGCATGCGGGATACACATTCATTGAAAATGTTTTAATTTTTCTATCATAAAATTGGGACATTATAAACCTGATCCTGCTTCTGTCAGTGGAGAGGCTCATTACTGTAATGGACATTGGATGAGATCCCAAGTTGTGTGACTGAAAATGACTGAAATCTTTGAAAACAAACCCACAGCCTCAATAACAAACATTTTTCAGTTTTGAAAAAGTAATTAACATATTTCAAAGTGACACAATCCTTAAATCTTTAATTTATATTTAAAAACTGAGAACCCATAGACTAGGGTGACTAGATGGCAAGTGTGAAAAATTGGGAGCCTATATAAGAAAAAGACCCAAAAATCGGGACTATACAATCACTATATGTCGCTATACAATCAGGACATCTGGTCACCCTACCATAGACACTTATAAAATATGTTGATTTATAAAGTGCTCTGAATATGTACAGTAGTGTCACACAATGCTGAATTTATGTGTGTGTTAATAGGAAGCTAAGGAGTAAATAAAGGCTTCAAGGTGAAATTTAAAGAGAATAAATAACTCCTCACCTTCCTCCCTGCACTCTGCCCACTTTTTTTATTTTGCTGCTTGGCTTCCTTTGTTTCCTCCTCCATTTGATCATATTCAGCTTTTTATGATCCAGAAACCTTTTCTCTCTAAGGGCAGCATCTGAAATAATAAAAGTGTTGTCACTTGGAAGAATCAAGCTTCAAATAGGGGGGAGGATGCATGATCTGGTGGTTAAGGTCCAGGATAGGGAATTGAGATCTAGGTTCTATTACCTGTTCTTCCACAAGTTTCCAATGTGAATTTGGTCATTTAACTTATTTTCCCATCTTTAAAATCGGAATGAGGATTATTTAGGGGGGTAATGAGGATTAATTTATTAAAGTGCTCAGATGTTATGGTGATTAGCACCTGAAAAATGTTTATAAGTTATTCTAGTTCTCAGTAATAGATTAAGGGAAAGATTTTTGAAAACACATGAGAGGAAGGCACCCAACTCCCATTGATTTTCAGTGGGAGCTGGGAGCATAACTGCCAATTGTGCCTTTAAAAATCTTCCCATTTTTGGTTAGTCATAAATTAGTATTATGTATGTATCACTTCAGTTTTTTACTTCTAATTGTTTTGTAATCACCATTACTAGGTTTAATGCAAAGTTTTTGTATTAAGAACCAAAATGTAATTAGATATTTGAAACTGTTGAGAGAATACTTCTGGATGAGCTGAACTGAATGTGTGTTTTAATTTGTGGTCAGGTTCCAGGTAGACTTCCAATGTGGCAGTAGCACAAAACCTCGTGCTGATGTGGCCTTTCACTTCAATCCCCGCTTCAAAAGATCGGGCTCCATAATCTGTAACACTCTGGAAAAAGGAAAGATGGGGTTGGGAGGAGATCACTTATCAGATGCCTTTTCAAAAAGGGAAGCCATTTAAGATTGTCTTTATGGTTTTGAAGGATAAATTCCAGGTGAGTCCCTAAGGAAGGTGAATATTTAGCCACTTGTCATGCCATAAACGCAAACTAATTTGGAAGCGTCAGTGTCACTATTGTTTACAGCTATGTACACTTCGATTACAAAGAGAAACTATAGGCTTTCGCTGAAAGAGGGGCACTGTTGAGTAATGTAGGCCTTTACTTTTATATACAGGTACCTGGAAAGTTGTGTGTTGAGGGAGCAAATATCTTCCTGATTATACTAGCTGTTACACAACCCCCTCCCTTTCCCATGTGTAAAAGGGCTTCTCTTGAACACAGCAGCCTTCCTGCACACAGAAGAGTGCTGAACAATGTTCTCTGGATCAGTCAGAGGAAGCACTAAAGAGAAACAAATATTTGTCCAGCTCTGTCCAATTGAGATAAGACGGGTGTAGCTCTGAATAAGTCTATAGTCCATATGTCATCAAATGGTGATGTGCTGAGAGAATCAAAATACGATGAGAGATGCAATATCAAAACCAAAGTACAAATGTGCAGTAAATTTATCTTTGTTATTGCATGCCATTAAATATTCCACACTATTGTAAAGAAACATAACTAGGCAAGTATTTCTGTTTCTCTACCAAACTCCCTGAACCACGGTGTACTTTAACCTTGTTCTGGAAGAGGAAGAAGATAATATCTCTGTCTCTAGCTGTTTAATTCCTGGTTAGTCCATCTAGTCTTCTCTTGATGGATTATATCTCCAGGGCTTTTCAGAGTGGCTGGAGTACAGCTTTCTCGAGGACTGTGTTGTATTTCTTGAGTTAAAGAAACAGATGACCATATTCATTTCAAGTAACACTAGTGAGGTTGTGTGGTAGGGTCATTTTGGTGTGGAGCTAATAGAGAAGGGGGAAGTGTTTGTGTGTGGGTGGGGAGAAGGGAATATTAAACATAACATATTAAGAAAAAGAAATGAAGTCAGTGATTACAAGGTAAGCCAACAAAATCAACCCCCAAAACAGTCAATAGACTTCATGCAATTTAACCATGATTATCATATTACCCATAATGTTCACTATTTCAATTTCAAAATGTGAAGGAAAAGAAAATGAATTTAAACCTAAATTCTTTGTTGTCAAAGGCATGTTCCAAAGTAAGAAGCTAAAACAAAACACGACTGAGTAAAATGGAGAGAAACGTAAAGGTTTAGTAGTGATCTTATGTTGAGTATATCAATACTATTTAAGATATCAGTACATTTCTGCCTTTTTCTGCCTCTCTAGGTGTCTGTAAATGAAAAACATTTGCTGCTGTACAACCACAGAGTTAACCTGGAAAGAATAGATACACTCGGGATATATGGGAAAGTACAGATTCGGACTATACAGTTTGTTTCTAATAATGTAAGTTGCTGAATTGGATAGCTAATTTTGGGTTGCTTTTCCTTATGTCTTTCTACTTCGTATTATGCTGTACTGAAGTAAGATATCAACAGTGAAAATGAAGTAACACAGAAGTAAAATCTATATGAACTTCAATATAGAAGTGCAGTAATGTCCCCTGATATATCCAGTATAATGATTTCTTCCCCTATTCATCCCCCCAAAATATTATCTGAATGTCTTGTTCCTTAAATGTCAGATAACCAGAGTTATACTGTACAACGCTGAGTCTTAACTAGAGCTACAGCTAGTCATTCCTCTGCCCAGTGTCAGAATGTCTTTTTTTCTATTTTGGATTTGAACTTTCTGTGTTGGGGAGAGAAGCCCAGCCTACACACTTACATCACAGTTAATATGAAAAACAGATTGTATTAGGGTGATCAGATGTCCCGATTTTATAGGGATAGTCTGGATACTTGGGACTTTATCTTATATAGTTGCCTATTGCCCTGCACCCCGTCCCGATTTTTCACATTTGCTCTCTGGTTTCAGAGTAGCAGCCGTGTTAGTCTGTATCCACAAAAAGAACAGGAGTACTTGTCGCACTTTAGAGACTAACAAATTTATTAGAGCATAAGCTTTCGTGGGCTACAGCCCACTTCTTCGGATGCATACTCTAGATTGTATGCAGAAATAGGCATGTGTAATTTACGCCCCTTGGAGATGAAGACCGGAACTTTCAGCTGCTTGTGCTTCAAAATGATCCCTAGAGCATCTTTCCCAGAATAATCTACTTCCAAACACTTGCACTAAGACAGAGCTAGAACTCTTTACAGAGTGTTTACTTGTATATGTGACCTTACTTTATCGACCAAAACAACACTAACTTGACTGATTAGATGGTGAATGTACCTTTTTGAGTTTTGAGTCACCCTTTGGCTGGGCTGCAATGCTTTGAGATAATATGGAGCAGCACAGTGCTGTCTCCTAATTGATTCAGTCAAACTGCCAAATCTGTTGAAGGTGAACCAATGGGAGGGAACGGCTCAGTCTGTCTCTCTCCTGCACAACTCAGTATAGAAGACAAGATCTGTTTATTACACAGGGGAGACTTGCAAAGCCTCACAGACTCTCCAGATAAGAAGGGGCAGGTGAGGGTCTCCCCATCCCTCCCTTGCTATTCTGGAGGTGAAGCTCAGCCTTCTGGGCTGTCAGTCAAACGAGGCCCTTGTGAAGCAGCCAGGTCCACTGCAACAGCTTCCCTGTTCTTTGTCCTAGCCTGAGGAGATTAAGCTTGCTTCAGTAGACAGCAGCATGGGGACTGCCAGCAAAACAGCCAGGAAAGTGCCCCTCCTCACTCCAGTGCAGACAGTGGCTAGTGAGTGCAACAAGGCCGCACAGCACAAGGAGTGGGGGAACAGCCCAGAAATGCAGTTAGGTAGGACAATCGTTCTCTCCTCTTCCATAGCCAAATCCGACTCATTGCTTTTATCTGCCTATGAAGTAAAATTCCATAGAAACTCAGATGGAAATATTTTTTTTCCTGTGTGAAAGCTCCCTGGATTTCTACCTGCTAATCATAGCTTAAATTGTCCTTTTTTTCTGCCAAACCTCTAGCCTAATTCAGGTCACCAGGGTAATAACTGTATTGAAGGGAGGTAAATTTGGGCCTGAGAAAAACAGCGACTGAGCTCTGAAGAGGTGTCCACCAAGCTCTTTTATGTATGCAGCATGGATGTAGCTCTATATCTGGGTACTTATATGGCCCTCAACAGCTAAATGCCTGGATTAAATGTTAACATGAAGCTGAATGTTTCAGTTTTAGAAGATTGATTGTGGGTGTAGTTTTGGGGCCAGCAAGTGTTGAACAGTTTGACCTCTGCCTCCAAGTGCAATACAAAGAGAAAAACACATACGTTTTCTTAATCGTTGAAGAAAATGATGGTGTAATCACAGGTTTTCTGTTTTTGTATTTTTATAGTTTCTCTGTTGCTGTTCTGAGGCTGACCACAAAGTTGTATCATTTTCTCTACTTTTCTGTTTTCCTCCCTTGCTAGTGGGGACAGTTCTGCTATCTTATGCAATGAAGAAGGGCAAGGGTTGCCCTGAACCAAACAAGTTGAGGTTATGAGATATGAAAGTGGCTAGACCAAAGCTTGTTCACATTTAGCAACATTTAAATTCAAGATTCAAGTTATATGCCATGTAACTTATGTCATGTTAAAAAAGATCACTTTGAAATCCCAAGGTCCTCTAGGATCCTATTTCTTAAAGGCCCTGCGGAATTGTCTTCCTCATTCCATTTAGGAATGCTGAATATGGTGTCCTCCAAAAAATCCCATCAGTATTATATTGAGGATCTGCCTGAAGGGTTACTCAAAAGCAATACAAGATGACAGGTCCCAGGCCTGTCAAGTGAGGGTCCAACCTGAGCCAGATCCTTTTAGACAACACAATGTGGTTTCACTAGACAAGGAGCGGGCAAACTTTTTGGCTTGAGGGCTGCATTGGGTTTCCAAAATTGTATGGAGGGCTGGTTAGCAGAGGCTGTGCCTCCCCAAACAGCCAGGCGTGGCCCAGCCCCTGCCCCCTATCCGACCCCTCCTGCTTCTCGCCCCCTGATGACCCCCCCCGGGACTCCTGCTCCATCCAACCCCCCCATTCCCTGTCCTCTGACAGCCCCCTGAACCCCCATCCCTGATTGCCCCCCGCCACCCCATCCAACCCCTCCTCTCATTCCTGACTGCCCCCCCCCCGGGACCCCTTCTCCCTAACTACCACCGGAATCCCTGCCCCTGACTGCTCCCTGCCACCCCATCCAACCCCCCCATCATTCCTGACTGCCCCCCAGGGACTCCTGCCCCCATTCAACCCCCCTGTTGCCCACCCTCTGACTGCCCCAAGCCCTATCCACACCCCTGCCTCCTGATCACCACCACGAACTCCCCTGCCCTCTATCCCCTGCTCCCTATCCCCTTTCCACACAGCCTGGAGCACCGGTGGCTGGCGGCGCTACAGCCGCGCCGCCCAGAGCACCAGGGTCAGGCAGGGCTCTGCAGCTGCGCTGCCCCAGGAACTCTCAGCTCCGCTGCCCAGAGCATTGCGCCGGTGGCGGAGCAAGCTGAGGCTGCGGGGGAGGGGCCGGGCACAAAGGTCCTGCGGGCCGTAGTTTGCCCACCTCTGCACTAGACAGTCTTTTGAGTAACTTTTAACCATAGTCACAGGATTTCCATAGTAGTCTAAAGCCACACATTTTTGTGTACAGTTCTAACAAACTTAGTTTAGAATCAGAATTCTAGTATATGTGAGCAGTGATCTCTAAATATCTTTTCTCTGCAGTTTTTACAAGGCTCTCAGCCATCATCTTTAGGAATAACAAAGATAAATTCAGAAAATGTACGTATGCATATACTGTGGTTATGTGATCTTCCCATTCTTTGATGTTCTAGTTAACTTTTTTTTTTTGGTAGGGAGAAGTGCCTGATGGTTCACAACTTGTAAGTATTGTTTTATATATGTAAATTGCAAATATTAAAACATCTGACTTGGTTTAGCTTCAACTTCCAGCCATTTGAATCATGTTATATCTTTCTCTGCTAAATCGAAGAGCCCATTATTCAATATTGTTCCCCATGTAGGTGCTTATAGGCTGTAATCAAGTCCTGACTTAAAACTATTTGCAAATTTGACACACATAGTTTTGGCCATTCTTAAAATGGCCAGAGGAGTACGTGTCTCCCCTCCCGCAGCTTTAACATTTAGCCCAGTGGGTAAGGGCACTCACCTGGGATGGGGTAGACCCAGGTTTAAACCCCTGCTATGGAACAGATCCAGAATGGACTTTTTCAAATCACTGAAAATTCTGAAAAATTTGGTTTGACCCAAAACTGATTTTGTTTTTTTATTGAACTGCCACTGAACCAAAAAATTCAGTTTCGGCGGCATAAGTGGCAGTGTGCACAGTGCTATGTTGGCAGGAGAGCTTCCCCCACTGACATAGCTACTGCCACTCATTGAGGTGATTTTAATATGTCGATGGGAGAGCTCTCTCCTGTCAGCATAGAGCGGCTACACAAGTGATCTTACTGTGGCACAGCTGTGCCACTGTAAGCTCGCTAGTGTAGACATGGCCTGAATTAATGGGGGAAATTTTAATCCTGTGCACAAAAATTTATCTAAAAGGCAGATAAGCTTGCTCAAGTGCAGATTCCCACCACAGCTCCAACCCTTAAAAGCAAGGAAATATGGATTTAAAGGGAATACCCTGCTACACACTCCTGAAATCAATCATTGTCAATGGGCTGGTGCCCACCCCAGAGAAGTACCTTCTACTGAAAGAATTGTACACACTACACTCCATACATTCATCTTACTTGCACAAATCCTTAATTCTGATATCAGCAACAAGGGCCTGTGCCTGGAACATGTCCAGGGCCCAGACTGCTGGAGGAATAATAGTATATTAAGGAGTTCCTGTACATCATGAGGGCTGTAGGTGTAAGGACTCTGCATGGAGAGGAGTTGCAAGATTCTCACCTAATCACATGCTTCCAGAAGCTGGGGTTTTAATAGTCATGTCAAATATCATGAGACTCGTGATAAAATCATGAGAGTTGGCAACACTGCTGGCACTAAAGTCCCTTTAAATTGAGCCAGAGAAGCCTTTGAAACACTGATTCGAGCTTAGATAAGTTTTTAGCCTGTGAATTTAATATCACTCCTTTGACATGCACACCCTGTACCTGCAGGCTCATCATCTCAGGCAGATGATGATGCCCATGTGAAGCCTCAGGGATTGTCCACACCAGGACAGGGGGCTGATTGCAGAATCAGAGGCCTATTGGTACATTTCTCACAACTCCAGGGCTGTAATGTTAACAATAGGCTTGTTCCAGCTCAGTAAACAGCACAAGTCAGTTCCAGGAAGGGAAACACCCAGTTGCTGCTGCAGGCAGGACATATTTCTGAGCTCAGGAAAGTGAAACTTACTCTGTTGCACTGTCCAGTGGTAGCCATGGCTGCAGAAAACCCCAGGGAAAAACTTCTGGATGAAGCTACATGTACTATCTGTCTGGAGTATTTTAAAGTCCCATTTGTTATCCAAAAGATTTTAAAAATTAAGTATAAATACTAAATAAAAGATCCTGGAATGAACATGCCTATTTGCCTTCCCACCCATAACTAGATCATCCCAGTGGTGGGTGAATATAATTTATTAAAAGACATGGAAAATTTGAAAAAGACAAGTAGACATGTTCAGATTACTTAAAAAATACAAAAGGAGAGACGGTCAGCAGGGAGGTGACTGATGGGCGTCATCAGAATGTATGTTTAAAGCCACAGGCTATAACTCCGAGCACGGTTGCCTTTTCAGGTGGTTCCTTACATTGCACGGCTTAATTCTGCACTTCGTCCTGGACGGACAGTTGCCATCAAAGGAGAAGTGAATAAAAACCCAAACAGGTCAGTAAATTGCAGTGCTCTTACATCCTAGTAGGAGATCAAATTGTAACATGTAATATTGTCATTGTTCATTACTACTGTTTTTAATATCTGAGTTACTCTGTCATAAAGTCAGATTCTTCCCTACTTGCTGCACCTGCCCAGAGGGGGGATATCCTCAATCCTACCTCAGGCTGACCATCTGAAGAGATCTGGATGCCTATCAGCACTGCTCCTGAGTCAGCTTAAAGTTCTACACTGACAAGTGATTGTTTAAAAAAATTTTTTTTTTTTTTTACTTAGCAGATGTGCACCCTGTGTCTATTCAGGGCCATAGCTGTTCAGTTTAAAGCATATGTTCAGCTCTACAAAACCATCACAGTTGTGTAACATGTTGACAAAACTTATCAACCAACCAAATATGAATGATGGAAAGTACAGTCTTCGTGCAGCCCTATTCTACACATGTTCATGATGCTTCAGCTGTAACACCTCACCTTCCATGGCAGATTACTTCAGACAGATCCAGGAGCTGATGAAATGCATCGCTGATTCAGTGCATCCAATCACCTTAGAAGAGGTCCAGGATTCCCATAATAAATTCCTGGACATTTTCCATACTTATTCCACATGTGTAGCCCTTCCGATCAATGAAGCTTTATTGGATCCTTCTAAGACCATCTGGCAGACTCCAGTGACAGCACCACCCACTTGTAAAGCATGCTTATAAGGGAAAAAAAAAAAAAAAAAAACTACATCCCAGCCAGAGATTGAGTTTTTAATTCTCTCATCCTTCACAAAACTTGGATAGTGGAAGCGGTTAATAAGTGCGATAGCCAACACTATGTTAAATCTCCTTACAATAAGGACCAGAAGAAGCTCGACCTCTTCGGTTGTAAGGATTACTCTTCAGCAAACAATCAGGCACTTATGTCAAGCTATGACTATTCGAATGACAATAAATTTAACACCTTTACTGAATATCTATGAGAGGCGCATTGTGAGCAATTCAAGACCATCAGCCAAGAAGGTCAGCTCTTAGTGAGAACATCATTGCAAGCCTCCGTAGATGCAACTGGTGGACCATGATGCAGATACTGCTGCATGGTCCATTTCCACTGTGATCATGATGCAACGAGCAACATAGCTCCAGTTGTCAGGCTTCCCTATGGAGGTACTGTAGATAATACTCTTGAGGACCTTCCTTTGGATGGTCACATTGTTTTTTGGAGTCTACCAACTACTTCCTTCACACCTTGAAAGACTTGAAGGCTACTCTTAGATCCACTGGGATCTATACGCCTGCAAACAAAAAGTTTAGCTAGTCTCAGATATCAGATATCTCACCCAGCTCATTTTTCTAGCTTCTGTAGTTCACCTAAACTCTCAGCCAAGAGCCCTGGATACTCAAAAAAGAAGACTGCTGCTGCCATAGCTACTTCATCCCAGCTACCCTGTCATGCAAGCATCCGTTTTGATGGCTTGGTCAAGAGTCTAAACCACTCACTCCACAGAGATTTACTGCAGCATTATTCCATTCTCCTTGCCCCTTTTGGATACCGTCTCCCCCAATTTCAATCTGCATGGGAGAACAGAACATCTGAATATGGGTTCTGGAGGTCTTAACATTGGAGTTATTCCATCAATGTCATGTCCATCCCTCCCTCCCACCCTCCTTCCCCATCCCTCTTCAGGGACCCATCTCATGATCAGTTCCTGAGTCAGGAAGTTGCTTCTTTCCTAGGCATAGGAGCCATAGAACCAGTTCCACTTCAGCACAGGAGGGAAAGGGTTTTATTCCAAGTACTTTCTTGTCCCCAAAAAGAATGGGGGATGAAGACCAATATTAGCAGAAACAACAGAAATTCAAGATGGTGATCATTGCAGGTATAACTCCCTCTCTAGATTACAGGGATGGGTTTGCATATCTCGACTTTCAGGACACACATTTCCACATTGCAATTCACCCCTCTCACAATAGGTTCCTTTGATTTACAGTCAACCACAACTGCTTCCAATACAGCATGCTCCCGTCTAGCCTCTCCTGTGCACCCAGGGTATTCTTAAAGGCCCTGACAGTTGTGGCTGCTCCTCTATGTCCTTTAGGCATAACTGTCTTCTCTTATCTCGATAGGAATCAGCCCGAGTAGACAATCAGAAGGTTCTATTGGCCATACAAATGACAAAGTCCTTGCTTCACATTTCCGGCCTCCAGATCAGTCTCAGAAAGATCGTTTTGATCCAGGTTCAACAGATTTCATAGGAGCCTCTCTAAAGGTTGCTATAGCTGTGGACAGGTTTGTGACTCTACAGAATCTTATTGCTAAAATTTCATCAAGGAACTGTCTTCAGCTGTCGGGTCATATGGCAGCATGTGTCTTCATGACCCAGCATGCCAAATTACCTCTCCAGTGTTTCCAGGGATGGCTCAGGACCGTCTACAGACCAATAAGCAGTCTCAATAGACAGGTCTCCATTCCCCATTGGGTTCTGGACTTACTCAGTTGGTGGAACACCTTCAAAGTCTGTGCAGAATTCTCTTCTTTCAAGCTCCTCCAACTGCCATCATCATTTCAGACTCATCCCTTTCGGGATGGGGAGAGCATGTTGGCACTCACATCATCCCGGGCAAATGGTCTTCACAAGAGAGTCTTCTGCATATCAACATTCTGGAGTTGAGGGAAGTCAGCTTGCTTCCACTTCTGCCATTGATCCAAGCCAAATCCATCAAGATCATGGCAATGTGGCTTGTATGTTCTACATCAATCATCAGGGTGGAGCACACTCCTCCTCACTCTGTGCTGAAGTAATAAAACTCTGCAGTTGGTGTGTGGCCACCCAGATATGTTTCTCAGCTTCTTACCTTCTGGGTATATAGAACACCATGGCTGACGATCTCAACAGGCACCTCTCTCAGAATTATGAGTGGGAGTTGGATTTTTGAGTTCTCAACAGCATATTTCTAACCTGGGGATTTCCAGAAGTTGAACTTCTTGCCAATGCAACCAAAGCAAATTGAAAGAAGTTTTGCTCAAGAGTGGGTCTTGATCCTCAATCTCTAGATGCCTTCCTTATTTCATGGACAAAAGGCTTTCTTTATGCTTATCCACCAGTGTCATTGTTCTTGAAAGTTCTCAACAAGATCAAGCAGGACAAGCACAAGGTCATTTTGACTGCACCAACTTGGCCAAGACCAGTTTGTTATACTTGTCTCATTTGATTTACTTCTCGCCCACTGTGGCAACTTCCAATCAGTTCCCATCTGTTATTGCACGATGCTGGTCAGACCCTTCATCCTATGCTGGAAGTTCTGTGGCTCCAGGCATGGCTCCTTGATGGTTCTTGGAGTTAGACATGTCCTTTTCAACATGTGCTGTTAAACAGTAGAAAGGAGTCCATGTGACATACTTAACTTCAGAAGGGAAGGAGATATACCTCTGGTGTACCTGCTCTTCTTTCCACTGTCCTTGACTACCTGTTGGAATTTTTAAAAAATCAGTTCTTACTAGGAGTTCTGTCATTCATTCATTGGTGATCCCTCAATTAAAGGATGATCTCTACCACAGATTTACATATGGGCCCTGAGATGACTCTGGAGTTAGATTCTGGAACCACAGATCCGACCGCAGTAGGTACAGATATATTTCCGGGTGGGTCAGCTGCCTGCTGGAAGAAAGTTCTTTCAAGGTACACTTGGTGACTATGACAGCCTTTCATTTACTGGGAGAAGGCTTTTCGGTTTTTGCTCACTCTGTCAAGATTGCTTGCTGAGGTCTGATGAATCTTTTTCCACAAATTAGAAATCATACTCCTATATGGGACTTGAACCTTGTGCTTATGCCTTATGAAACACTGCTTTGAACCATTAAGTATATGTTCGTTGCTTGACCTATCAATGAAAATCGCTTTCTTGGTGATCATCACTTCTGCCAGGAGGGTTGCAGAACTGGGGGCTTTAATGGCAGATCCCCTCTCCCCCCATTTATAGTGTTCTTCAAGGAAAAGGTCTTCTTGTGACCACATCCTATGTTTTTACCTCAAGTGTTGGCTGAATTTCATATCATCAACCAGACCATTCATCTCCTGTTTTGTTCTCCCTACCCCCATGGAAACTGCATCAGACAAGGAAAGAAGCTGCCTTCCACACCATGGATGTTAGAAGGGTATTAGCCTTCTATTTGAACAGAACTAAACCATTCAAAGTGTCACACACTCTTTGTGGATCCTTTAGATCTTTCTGCAATTGAAACAATCTCCATCCAGACTTCCAAGATGGATCTTTGGGTGTATCATTTCATGTTATGACTCAGCATTCAGTCGCCTTGTAGAATTTTAGCCCATTCTATAAGGTTGCAATCTACTTCCATGGCATTACTCAAGAATGTTCCAGTTACTGAAATTAGCAGAGCTGCAACCAGGACCTCAGTACATACTTTCTCAAACTACTGTGCTTTGGTTCATGCCTCTAGAGTTAATGTTGCAGTTGGCAATGCAGTTTTGTCTTCAGTATTAGACTTTATTCCAAAGATCACTTCTCCCTTCAGGAATACTGCTCTGGATCACCTTCAGAGGAGCACCCATACAGACACTACTCAAAGGAGGAGAGGTTACTCACGTTGTATAGTAACTGGTGTTTGAGATGTGTCCCCCTATGGGTGCTCCACTTCAGGTGCACATGAACCCTCCTTCCCCATTGCTTTGGAGTTTTCTCTGCTGGACTTTGTGGTAGAGAAGGAACTAAGGGGGTTCACCCATGCAGCCCTGTATATCCTTAGTATGGGGCATGAGGCTGCATGGAGGGCGCATGCATGGGCCTTTTTGATTTAACAACTTTGATGCTTGCTAAGTTCCTAATGAGCTAACTGTGTGTGTGTGTGTGTGTGTGTGTGTGTGTGTGTATATCTCTTTTCTTATAGTCTAAGAATTTGGTTTATTGTAATAGGTTTATAAATTTATACTAAAGTAAGTTCGGCTGTAATGCAAGGGACCTACAGGCCATATCCTGTATGTTGAGCTAAGGC